GTTTTCTTTTGAATGGTTAGTCCCCCTGTTTTCAGATTTTGGTAGATGCCGGAGAACTATACTCCATTATATTTCTTCTCTCCTTAAGGGAATCAATCAGATGAGATCTCTGTGTTGAGTTCCAGGTCTGCCTAGTTGGTATGGCCAATATGAGGGGCTCCCGCCATCCTAAAGGAAGTAATAGGAGGAGCAGGAACATCCCAAGATAGGTAGGAACATCTAAAAGTCCTTTAAAGCCTTGGTTCTCAACTGGTGGGTCGTGACCCAAAAGTGGGTCGCGACCTCGTGTTCAGTGGGTCCCTGTGCACCTTCCACTTTTCTAGGTGAGAGGCTCCTCTGCCTCCCCCTAGCGCAGCACTGTCAGTTCTCGTGCCAACAGGCATTCATATGCTACTTGGTGCCGAGTGTCAGCTTAAGGTGGGGTGGGGCTATGGCCGCGAGGGAGCTCCATCCATACATGCATTGCTTACAGCTTCCCCGCAGGCCCTGTAGAGGTGCCTGGACCAGAGTGACATCACGTTCTAGCTCCAGGCATCTCTACAGGGAGCGGAAGGGGGTTATACAAGCAATACACACGTGGATGGAGCTCCATCACAGCACAGCAGCCCACATTGGACCCCAGGCTGAGGATTGACTCCAGTTCTTGTAAGGTAGAGAGATTGGGTGGATCTTAAAAGAGAAATAAACTTTTTTTCAGAGTGTATACGTGTGTATGAGATTGTGTCTGTGGTTGTTTGTGTCTGTCAGTGTTTTTGAGAGCCCGTTCACACTGGGACAGTGTGTTAATCGAACAGTCCTGGGAGAGTAACACACTGTACCACACAATCACTCCTACTACGCACTCTGATGTGGAAGGGTGCATTGCGTTGTCATTCATTTGAATGGCACCCCAAACGCACCTCCCACCCACAGTTCAATCACCCGCACCGTCGTAATGCGCGGTACCGCAATGCCATGCATTCCATTGCAGTGCAACTTGGGTCACAACTTAATGACCAAGGACCGATGTGGGTCCTGGGGTTACACAGGTTGAGAACCACTGCTTTAAAGCTTTGGATAGACTAGGTGAGCTTAGGCCACTTTATATGCCATCTGTGACCTCTTGGGGAAATTTCCCTTTACTCCCTATCTTGGAGCCACAACAGGAAGTAAGAGGCAAGTTATGGGAAATCACTTCCTAGACAGCTGTCACTAGAACAGGTGCCCCCTTTGGATGGTTTTCTGTTATTTTCTGTTATGAGCCACCACATTATTTTAGATTTCCCAAACTCGGCCTACTTACCTCTTCTGACCGGCTGGCCTCCCACAATGTCTATATCCCGGTCGCAGAAAATCTAGTTCCAGGATACCCACTCCTGTGAACGAATGTTCCATAATTTTGAATGGCACACACCCGTACTGCAGGAGCAATGTCACATTCAAGTCTACCATACTTGGTAGACTATACTATGGTAGACATTCCAGTCCAATGTAGTGCATAGACGTAGGCAGTCTGGCACTATACTATATACGGACAGCGAACTGGTATAATAGTTGCCATTTCTGCCTTGCAACAATTGGGGTCCCCAGTTCAAGCCCTGCTCAGGACGCTATCTGTAAGGGGTTTGCATGTTCTACCTGTACTCGCATGGGTTTCCTCACACACTCCAAAGACATGGTGGAAGGTTACTTGGCTTCTGTCTAAATTGGCCATGTATGGACACTTATCTGCAAGGAGATTGCATGTTCTCCCTGTGCTTGGGTGGGTATCCTTCGGGTACTCTGGTTTCCTCCCACACTAGAAAGACATGGTGGAAGATTAATTGGCTCCTGTTTAAATTGGCCCTGTATGGATACTATCTGCAAGGAGATTGCATGTTCTCCCTGTGCTTGGGTGTGTACTCTGGTTTCCTCCCACACTCCAAAGACATGGTAGAAGATCAATGGGCTCCTGTTTAAATTGGCACTGTATGTATACATGCACAATAGGGACCTTAGATTGTAAGCTCCTTGAGGACATGCACTGATATGAATGTGCAGTATGTAAGGTGCTGCGTAAATTGGTGGCGCTATGTAAATACATGTAATAAATACAATTTTCACCAGAGATGGTAAGCAAACACCTGTGATGGGGGAGTAGTGTGTCCAACTCAGTATGATTAGGGGGCTGCGAGGGGGGAAGGAGGCGGGGTGGTAGATATGAATTGAACTTGCCCTTTAAGGTTTAGGCTTCAATTTAGACTGAAATGCGCTTTCAAACCAATTCGTCACTTTGCCCACCAAGTTGCACTCCCCTGCCACTGTGTTCCTTTATTGCGGCAGTGGGTCTAAAACCTGTGTAAGTTTCATGTCAGAGCTAACACAAGGCGAATGGCTTTCTTCCCTTCCCCATGTGACAGCATTGAGGCCTTTAGATTGGCCATGAAGGTCACATGTTCACTCATACTTAAAAGAACCAGGTATTTCTAATGGGAGGAACAAAGCGGTGAGCAAAGTGACGGGTACACTTTAGCCAAGGTTGCGAACTAAGACATCTGAGCAGCTTCACCGCGGCCTCAAAGACAGGAACTCCGTCCAGCCACGAAGAGGTTACTTGTATCTTTCCACCGCTTGCGCTAGGATGCCTTTTTGTTTTTTTTCCGTCAGCCTTAATGAGAAAAAGCTGACTGCCGCTGCGGCATTGTTACTTCGCTCCCCTAATGCAAATATCAATAGTGCTCCTGGCGGTATAAATAAGGCAGCCCGTAATAAGCTCCTTATTGCTTTTCCTGCAAGCTCAATATTTTGCCACAAGGACGTTGCCGGTAATCTGCAGAAAACACAGCCAGATTTAAAAATACCGTTGGTAATACACAGCGAACATTAGCGGAGCGCTAATGGCTGCTCGGAGGTCTTGTCGGGGAGTCGTTCCAGCACCGTCCATTCCTCATACATGACTCAGAACTGAGAATTAGGCAGGGAGCCGAAAACAAAAGGGGGATGGAAAATAAAATTAAGTCCTTTCATCAGGTAGGCAAACAGACGTTTAGCGAAATATTCGAGTTTACAAGATAATTATAAAGCCGCTAACCTTATGGCAGGTTTCTAAGATGTAATTAGCGATGAACATTTCATTTTCTTAGTTGAAGGGGCTGTACGGGCAAAGAGGCCGGAAGAATCTGTCTCAATGTAGAACAGCAAAACTTCAGGAACGTAATTAGCGAGCAGCAATGTTATCCCGGAATTTATTGTAACCTAAACTACTTTTAATCTGAGTTTTACGTCTTGCAGATGTATCCGGAGTGCTGTAGGGAATCTGGCTGAATCAGATGGTAAGGCCAACCTCTTTGTGTACAATCCTCACTCTGCTCTCTAATCCCCTGGTCTGGTTGGTCCATGATGGTATATATCAGGGGTAGCTAAACTGCGGTCCCTAAGCTGTGATGAAACTACAATGTCCATCAAGGAACAAGCAAACAAAGCAAAGCCGCTCAACCTCCTACACCGACAGCCAGTGTCGTGGTACCGTGCGCAGGTGCCCCCACAGGAGGGCCAAATGCGCGACCACCCCGGACAAGGCAAATGAGTTATATACAATTTATTGTAAAGGGCCAAACAAAACACAACAACCCCACCAACACCCACAAGCAAGCACAAATAAGTAAAGTAACCACAAACACATACAAAAGATAACAAGTATCCAAACCAGGAGCAAATAGCTGAATACACACCCAGTGTATACAAGCCAGGTAAACCTGGGGAGCAGGGCAAGACCAATGGAGCTAAGGGGCAAAGGGTTGGGGTACAGGCAGGTAACAGGACTCAGGACTGCAAGCAGGTAACAAGACTCAGGACTGCAAGCAGGTAACAGGACTCAGGACTGCAAGCAGGTAACAGGACTCAGGACTACAAGCAGCTAACAGGACTCAGGACTACAAGCAGCTAACAGGACTCAGGACTACAAGCAGCTAACAGGACTCAGGACTACAAGCAGCTAACAGGACTCAGGACTACAAGCAGCTAACAGGACTCAGGACTACAAGCAGCTAACAGGACTCAGGACTACAAGCAGCTAACAGGACTCAGGACTACAAGCAGCTAACAGGACTCAGGACTACAAGCAGCTAACAGGACTTGGGACTCAGGTTTCACAGGAAATGGTAACAGGATACTGAAGCAAACCCCGGACTGCAGGGAGGGATTAAATACCCTCCCAGGTAGTTATTAATCACTGACAGCTGGGAGAGAGCCACAGGTGAGGACTGGACAAGCAGGTTCCAGCACCACCCAGTGGTGGTCTGGTACCTAACATCTCCTGGTTGCCTGAAAACACCTGCAGGTGAGCGCAGGAACTGCAGGACCTGGTTCCTGAGCCCCTGGAGGTGCTATGGTCCCTGACAGCAAGGCTGGAACTGCGGTACTCGGTGTTGGTCTCTGCTGGACCCCATAAAATGCATTGACGAGAAACCGGCACACAAAAAGATCAACTCGGTGCAAACTTTATTACTGTGACCTTAAAGGCAGCAGGCAAGAGATCTAATGCGTTTCAGCCCTTTACATGGGCCTTAATCATAGCCATGGCTATGAATAAGGCCCATGTATAGGGCTGAAACACATTAGCTTTTTTTTGTCTGCTGTTTTTAATGCCCAATCCATCGGGGCATGGTAGGCATTTGGGGGGGGGAGCGCCAGTACTTCGGTATGAGAGCTTTGACGGCATTGAGCATGAAGGGTACTGTGGTCTTCTTGTATGTCCTCACGGAGAGAGGAGTGAGATGGAAGAGGCATAACCAGGGGTCTAAAGGTGTAGGAATTCCACTAAAGCTGGTTATAAGTCATGTGATCTCCTCCCAATACTCTGGCACCAGTGGGCAATCCCACCACAGGTGAGCAAAATCTGTCAAAGGATCTGACGTTTTGTCCAGCCATGTGATGCTTACATATGCTAATGTACAGGGAGGTGACACCACGATTTCCAGTTTCAGCCTTGCAGTGTTCAGTGTCACCTTTCCACCTCCAGCTTACTCACCTGACAAGGAACAGTCATTGTTACCTCTGTCCAATTCACAGGCTAACGACCCCAGAAATTATGTAGATGAACCCGGAAATACTGGAGTGATCTTCCTGACCGTGCAGTGTGGCCGAGAATGGTGAATCACAAGACTTGCTGAACACAATTACAAATCATTTGTCAGCTCAAACGGTTCCACCAATGTCTGTACGTGTACACGGTACCTTTTCCAGCATAAACTGCAGGGGGTCCACTGGCTTTTCATACACCAAATCTTCTGTGATCTCCTGAAATACAAATGAATGATAGTGATCAGCACTGCGCATGGCTTATGGTTGCCTGATGCTGATATAGCACATCGGTGAGGCTGTACGCATAGGGATCCATTTATAAAGCAGTGGCATGGCCTTACTGTTGCTTCAGGAAAAAAAGGCCCATTTATAAAGCAGAGCGGCGTGCCTCACAAATGTGCTCAGTGGAGACGAAGCCGACAGAGCACTATTAAAACGAATGAGTAAAAACAACAACGAGCCCAGTCACGTGACCATTCAAAGTCATGTGACATCCTTAAAGGAGAACTATGGGGTTAGGGCTTTTCCCCATAGTTCTCAGGGTAACGGGGGGACACAAACTAGCGTCCTCCCGTCACCCTAAGCTCAGTATACCGCAAGCTACAGGTCGCGGTATACTGAGGCGCCGCAGCTGAAGCGGATCCCAACAATTAGGTGAGTGAGTGACAGTGACAGCTGGCTCTGCCTATCCAGAGGCAGGGCCAGCTGTACCCGCCCCCTCCCCCGTCCGTTCCGCCAGTCAGCGCTGGCGGATCGGAGCGGGGAGGGGGGAATCCAGCCCCTCCCCTGTCACGGCAGAGAGCCGTGACAGGATCGAGAAGTGAGTGAACGCCGGTATGTGTTCGCTCACCTCCCGATCTACTGAGCCGACCTGTGACAGTCTCATTGTCACAGGTCGGCTAGAACTATGAGGTGAGTGAAAAGCACCCGCCTCATAGTTCTCCTTTAAGCAGAGAGAACTTTGTAGGACACTGCAGGCTCCACAGCGCGGCATGCATTTTATGAATGGGTCGTAAAATGCAAGCTGCGGTATGCAGTAACCTTGCAGTTTATAGGGGAGAGCATAGCGATATCCACTCTCTGTCATAAATGGGCCTCTAATTTACATATTTATTTAGGTTGAAATGCCCATTAAGTTTAACATTTTACCAGCTCTGGCACTTGTGGTCCTGAGTAGGGCAAAACAACCCCCAGGGGTAACTATAACCATCATTTTGTGTTTATGAATCAAATATGAGGGGACGTCAATAAGTTCTTACCATCACCATGATCTAGGTTTATAGGTGGATATCTTAGTCACATGCATGCCAGTTTTTGTTTTTGTAGGCCATGGTGAGTTATAGTGAGAGCCAAGAGACATGGAGTCGGTGTCATGCCGGACATACCGAGCCGAGTGCGCCTGACATGCGTGCTCAATGAATGGGGGGTGGTGGGAACTGAGCTCTG